TGAATAAAGAAGAGTGGAGCTTTCTGGCCAGGGACGTGGGGAGGCTGGCACGCGGACGACTGACATCAGTGGATTGGGGGGAAAAAATTGGTAAAATTGGTGTTGCTTGCTTGCTTTGCTGCCCCAGCTGAATTCTGTTCAGCCCGGGTAGCAAGTCAAGCTGTCTGCTACTGTTTTTTTTTCCTGTAATTTTGAAAATGGCCTTAATATATCTGCCATTGCTCTGGAGCTGCTCTAGAGTACTTTGTCTATTTTACTCTGTGCCTGCCTTGTCACAAAGACCAGGCCCTCCTCCAGGTTGCACTAGTTCCCGTGAATAGTCATTTTGATATGGAGTTCTATAGGAACGTAACAAAGGTTTAACTAAATGGGAAATATTATATATTTGTAATGTTTAGCCCGTTTTGTGACTAGACATTAAAAAGCATGAACACTTTCAGAGCAAGGTCAGTTCTTTACACTTTTTAAAAGATGTGTATGCCCCATATTGATGGCACCATTTCTATGTAAATGACAGTTGAACCATCTTCAGAAGACCCGTGTACAAGAAAGTCTGTTCTATTGCATATTTGTGGGGAAAAATTGTAATCTGCCATTATGAAGACCCAGTGTCTATCCTTATAATACATGTAAGACGGAAAAGTGTCTATACTTTGGCCCTAGTATGTTAAAACATTGGAAGTATATGGAAGTAGTTACTCAGTCTCCCATTTGAAAGACATATTCCAGATCATACGTCTGTGAACTGTTATAGATTCAATTTTGAGAATTTCTGTCCTTAGTATTGCCAACATGCAAATATTATATATTCTCAATATATTGTGGTTAACTAAAAGTGGAAAGACTAATGCATGGTCATGTTATTGTCAAAAGAAAGTGTCCAAGTACCAATTTTGTTTTTAACAATTTATTTTTCTGCAATTATCTGACATACTTGTGCAGAATTAAAATGAATTGAGATTGTGCAAAAATTTCCTCTAACATGCTTGGGTATTTGTAGGATGCTGAGCATCACTTCTACTGGCAATGTTATTCTGTGTTTGAATGGAGGGGGTGGGGGGGTTATCATGTTTATTCAGTCCGTCTCGTATGTAGTGTGGTGTGACCAACACTTCAGAGGATTTTGTAAATTAAAAGAGTAGCATCGTTTTTACATGATATTACTCATCATTCAGCGTCATGTTGAGATGTTGAAACCTCTTTTGTTTGGAAGCAAAAAAGATGTCTGCAAGAATGCCTGCATTAACCCATTAAACCATTTTCCAGCAGTCTGAAGTAGCCTAAGGTTTATTTTATTTATTTCTTTTCACTGGGGATTGTTTAAATGAATGTGACAAGAGGTTTCAGTTTTAGGAAGGGTGATTATTATCCACACCATTTATTTTTAATGGTCAAGTTAATAGATGTGGATCTCAGGCTGAGGTTGATTTTTATCTTTTTTTATTTTATTATTTATTCTTTAATATTTTAAGATTAGAAAACGCCACCACTGTGATAATCAAAAGAAAATGTGCTTAAACCGCATTAGCATAGTATCGTGTTTAATGGTGACCCTTTTACAGCACATGAAAGACATGTTTCCTCTTGTTTTATGTGAATGCTCTGCAAAAGCTCTAATTAATGTGAACGCGAGGCCGCTCTTTCCTGCTGGAACAGAGACGTCTTCATCAGCAGCTTGCTGATCCTCGTCCGCCCCTCTCAGCACAGATCCTAGGAAAAGAACTGATACCATCTATGCTTTAGGACGCCTCTCCAACCTTTTATCTCCCTCTTTCGCTTTCCTCTACTAACTGTAATGCTTGAAAGAGAAGATCCCTGCAGTGGCGTCGTCACAATCGGAAATTTGTTCTGCCATTATGATTGTAGGAAATGAGATTGTTAAAGTAGGAGTGGACAGGTACAGTGACATTGGGCCAGAACCTTAAATGCCTGAATATAAATTGGTATTTTTATGTGAAAATCTTTGTCTTATGAGTCCAAATAACAAAGTATGACTGCAGTAGAGTGCCCTGACACCACCATTTTCACTATAAAGAAGTGACAGATTGAGACAAAAGAAACACTAATTAATCTATGGCGCTCAATGCATCCCAGGAGGTTTTTAGTGATGAAACAACCTCTTTCTTTTTTAACTGCTGTGCTCTCCTCAGACTCATCCCCTTAAGGACATAGTTTCCTTTTGTTTCACTGAATGCATTTTAACGAATGCATTTTAACAAACCCATTTAAGGGTCAGGAACTTGTCAAATCCAACTGTGGAGTAAACATGATGTGTAGCAAGAGAAAGCATCCATGGACTGAGAGAGCTGATAAACACATTCAAATGCAACATGTCACTTTGCTGTGAAGCAAAAAGGGGAGCATTTTTGACTTTCCTGTTAATTTCCACTTTGTGGCTGTTGTCAATTCTGAGAGTTTCAGAAAAGCAACTAAATCTGATATTTGCCACTGATGACAAAGTAAATTGTAGCCCTGCTCCACTGAAGCAAATGTCACTTGACATGGTGGTATTATACAAATATTTTATAAAAATGAACACATTTGTAAATTATTGGTATAAATTGTCAGATCAGTGTGTAACATGGGCAGTAGGCTGACAATTATTAAGTAATTTATTATTTTGAGTGTAATATCACTATTGAAAATCATGGAAAGTCAAATGTATGTTAACATTCCTCTTAGTTTTTCAAGGATTTGGATGTGTACAGCAGGAAAGCCTGGTGTGACTTGATGGCTAAGGAGTGGGTGCCTCATCCTGATCAGATAAGAGTAATGGAAGCGAATGAAAAGACCCCTGTCCCTGATGGCCACAGCAAAATGGATGTGCTCCCTGAGGTGTGCCTCTGGTATCATCCACGCCTGTGGACACAGATTTATTGCCCATTAAAAAGCTACTCTGAAATGTACCTCTTAAAATGGTGTGTTTATCCTGTTGAGAAGTCCTTGTAGGAATGAAACGAGACAACTGTGAGCACCGACAGACTGGGGCTGACTCAGTGTGGCAATATGCTGTGAGCCAAGTTCAAATAAGGTTTAATGCCATAAAAACCTAAATTGAGCTTTACAATTTCATTTTAACAAAATGAACCCCAGTTGAAATTGAATATTCCAAAATGAACATTTTTACTTACACTATACACACAGCAGTGCTCTTATTTCCTATTTTACAGGGAAAACTGTTTAAACAAGATTAAGCAAGCAGGAAATCAAAATACATACAATCTGCAAGGATCACAACAATTTAAATCAAAACAATCTATAACCATAAGCAATAAATATGACATCTATCTACATGATAGCGCTTAACAAACACCAAAAATAAGGAACAGTATAGTTATTGATATATTTCTCTGGACAAATTAGAATAAATTGACATTGTTTACTCTGAAGCCATAAGTAAACACGTTTAGTTTTAGAGTTACACATTAATACACAGCATTTGCACAAAGGAGTGGAACTAAAACATCAACATAGATCAACTCGGATTTAGTAATTTCCTTATCATACACCATACTCCTCATGTGTGTAATGGGACAGGATCATTTACAGCTGACAGGGAAAGATATGAGATACAGCAAATAAAGTAACATTGACAGAAACAATTGCCATGTGATAGTCAGTGGCACATGCCCTAGCCTAAAAAGCCTGGTATATACGCAATCAACACCTTATGACGTGTTGGTGGTTTTCAACAGAAGCTTTTTAAACTTTTTTTGTGATTTATAAGTCAAAGCACATTTCACCATTTACTACAAGATGGATGTTTTCCACTTTTACACAAAAGTCAGTCACTTTAAGCCTGTTCTACAACAGGGAAATGTCTGACATTTTCAAATTTAGTCCCACTTCTTATTAAAATTCCAGACAGATTCAGTACTTTTTTTTGGGTTTCTCCACACTTACACGTCTTAGGTAAATGAAATTTCCCAGGCTAATTAAAGCCTATTAAAGACAGGTAATGTCAAGGCTAGTGGCAGGACCATGACAAAGTGCTGATAATTGTCTGCCAGACTCACTAAATCCACCTGTCCTGCAATTATCGCATTCCCCCCGCCTCTCCTGACACATTAATCCACTGCGGGGCCTGCTCGGCAGGCTCATGCCTCAAAGTGCATCCTGCAAACACAGATGTTGGATTTCAGACTAGTTTAGCATATACATGCCTTATGATGATTGCAGCAGAAAACCAACACATTTTAAGGAACACACAAGGCAGCAGCCAGGTTATACATGGATGAGTACCTACATACGTAGGCGTAATGATTTATCATTATGCTCTCTGCTTGCTTTTGGATTAGATCTGTTGGATCCATTTATTTTGTCATGGGTACATTATCAGTTAACTCTATTTTAGTCCATATAAAGAAAGATATGAAGAGTTTGAAGATAAATTGTAAGGCCATTCTAATTATTCAGAGCTACTTGAAAAAATACCCATTGATCAGACTAATCTGAAAGAATAGACACTGTCCTGCTTGTGTTCAGTTAACAGGTACAAATGGATGTTAGCTCTACTTTGAATGCAATGAACAGATCATTTTGACTAATAAGTCTAAATGCAGCGGATTTTCAAATGTGAAATATCTAATTTTATGCCCCGTTGAATAACTGCAAATGTCCCGGTAATTATTAACATTATTCAAAGTTTTGTCATATTTCATCCCATAACTGACTTTTGAAATGAGGTGAAGAAATAGTTTGAGAATGTTGGCATGAATGCAGCACTGGCACACAAGCCAGCTATGCGCTTCCAGCTGGGAGGCTGCTCGCCTATTGTCAAGCCTTGAAGAAAACATCTGGACAACATGCTAATTATACCAGTGGTTTGCAGAGAACATGTGCTGTTGTGATGGGGAGGAGTCACCCTAGGTTGGTAGCTAGCTCTGATTCCCAAGTCAACCCCTAAAACCAAGTCCCTGAACACCCAACTATCTCAAATGTTAGATTTGTATACTTGTCTGCAGTATATACAAAAGTTTTGTAACCCCCCCCCCCCCCCCCCCCCAGTGTAAGTTGCACTTCCTGCAACATGTCTCAGGTAGTTAGGTATTTCGGGACAAGGAGCTTAGGGGCTGACATTTACATTATTTGATCAAACAAAAGTTTGGTGCATACTAACAACAAGCTAGATCACCCTGTGGAGGAGTAGGGAGTGTCACTATGGTAGTTGTAGTCAGGGCATACTTTCTGCACCAGTTTATAGTCTACACTGTAAAAGGCTATGTAGATGCAAATGACTTTGAAGGGTTTTGAGCACAGCCAGGACACATGGCTCTGCGTCTGCTCCTGATAGCACACCTTGGACGGGTCAAAGTTGCACAGGGCAGTCTTCTTGTTGCGGTCCGTCTTCTCATACTCAACGCGACAGTTGAATGATTTGGTGTCTTTGGTCTCCAGCGTGGACTGCTGGGCAATCTCAAACTCCACCACCTTCGAGGGCGGCACCAGGCTGACCGACACGTTCCCCAGACCCGTGGAGTTGTGACGGAAGTAAACGCTAAAAGTGCCGTTCCCGTGGTCCACAATCTTCCCTGTGATCAGCAGGTTGAGCTTGACAGTCTTGATGTTGGAGTGGAAGTCCCCCCAACCAAACATCTTTTTGAACTTGCCAGTCTTCACGATGGGCCTGCGTTTAGTTCTGGCCTGTGCACCCTGAACATCTGTCTGGTTAGATAACCAGTCCCAGAAGTCCTCCATGTTCTGTAAATATGTAATTTCCCTCATGTTGCTCTTGAACCCGGGGGAGCCCCTGGCAAACAAGCGCAGGGGGTTGAGGATCCGTGGACTGGCTGCCGTGGGAGAAATCATCTGTTCATTATCACTGTCGCCCCACTCGATGAGCTCCGTGGCTCCTCCATGCGCTTTCCTGCATGTGACCTTCAGAGATAGCAGAGCAGAGGTAGACAGAAAAACAACATGAAGTGACATAAAACATTTTTTGAAATATAATTATGCAATACTTTGTTGCTGATTATTGTGACACAATAATTATGTGACAAATATTTTAGAGTTGTTTGAACATTGGGTTTGGGTTGGGCTATCTGAGGAAGGAAACAGTAGACTAATCCTTTTAATGTTTCTAGTTTGTTCAGAAAACTTACAAAAAAGCACAAAGTAGTTGATATGGGCAGTAATGCCTTTTACAGACCAGACATATGACAGAAATTCTGATTGACAACTTATCACTGGTGATTGCACTGTAAAAATAACAAGATTTCAGTACTAAAGCTGAAGAGGAAAAAAATCAGACTGTAATCAGATTACTGAAGGAGTGCTCAGTCTTTTGTTCAGGACAGACACTTTGGCACAATGAAATTTCTTTTCTCTTTTGCCTTCCTGAATTTTCTGTGCTTTCAATAAAACCTAGGAAAAACAAAAAAGCCTAAATTCACTGCTGAAGTAAGGATTCTATAATTTTTTACATGTGGTGTGTCCATTATCTGCCAGATTCTGGATGCAAGCATTGAACTTAATTATTTACTTAACTAGGTAACGACAAAAACTGCATTCAACTACTAATCAAAATACTTGAAATATGAATGTTTAGTTTTACAAATATAAATACAGAACATTAAAACCAATGCAACCTGAGTAAAAACAAATGTGAGGAACGTTATCTTTTTCTTGAAGTTAAAGGAATTTTTTTCCGATGTTTTGGGAAATACACTTATTCACTTCCTTGTCTAGAGTTAGATGGGTCAATGGCCATGAGAAAGTTGAGGCAAGAGCGAGCAGCAGTTAGCTTAGCTTCACACAAAGACTGGAAACACGAGAAACATCTTGCCTGACTCCGTCCAGCACCTCTAAAGCTCACCAGTTTATGCACTTCCTTTAGACAGAGCCAGTCTACTTCCCTCTCTTTTTACGATCATCACAACTTGACACAGTAAAAACATTATTACCTTGCAACATTCAAACAGCAGTTTCACTGACTTCACCGCCATCTGCACGAGCCTCATATGTCTTTCTTGTCAGTTTTGTAACATCTGACCTTAATAAAATACACAACTTCGATCATTTAAAACCATTTGAACCACCGGCTACAACACTGATCTGAGCAAAGTCCCTGTTGTCGTAAACGTCAGTGTACAGTCCCTTCTTTATATGATGCTATCGTGTGTGGTGGCTGGGGATGCTGGCGACAGGCCTGTGCGGTGTGACTGGCATTGCCTGGGCATACCTTTACAATAACCATGAAAGAGAAAGGGGGTCTGGTTGGTCAAATGAGTTTGAATTAAGACAGAGAGGCATTAGTTTAAAGTATTTTTTTTTTTCCAGTAAGACCCCAAAAGGCAGTCTATGTAGTTGTTGTTCCAGTAGTTAAGCCCACCAAAATGGCATTAACAATAATTTTATTACATTTAATTAAATTACTGTGCAACTGTGACCTTAGTTTGAGTAAAGTAAAAAGTACAATAAGGTATACAAACTTGCAATTTAATTGCATCTAATGAAACTATTTACAGACACTAGTTGCACCAAAGAGGGTGAAAAACAAGAAATACACAACACAGGACAAGGGAATCCTTTTGCATGCACTCATGAACTTTAACTGGACTCAGCTTTGCATAAAGCTTCTAATATTTTAGGACAACTTGTCAGATGACATGACAATGAAAATCCTCTGGACTTAAGTTGTGAGCTGGTCTCACATCAGCGGTGCTATTCTTAGAAACCCCAGGCGTATGAACTTTAGCTTGTAATGGTTCCCAACAATAACACAGGCTTCTGCAGCAGCATGGTAAAGTATGTGCTAAGTGCTAATCCAGACGCAGCAATGAACTGTGATCCCTCCTTGTACCCTAAAGCCTTTTAGCTTCAGGAGCGATTCCTGGTCCACTTCAGATAAAGCTTTAATAATTCACGGCAATAAGCTTAGCTAGTTTTATTAGTAATTAGTAGTGCCGGCTTTCCCCAGGCCCGGTTGTAGGGATCACTGAGGGAAGCAGATGTTGAAAGCACCGAGCAGCGGCTGTTTGAATTCTCACTGAGCTGCTGTGCACTACTTCCAGACTAATTATAATTTTGCTGTAAGCCTAACTGAGGCACATGTGTACAAAGCTAACAAACTAGGTCTGTCTGTTACAATTTGTTTTGTCACACTAACATGACAGGAATTTCCATTCCACATGTAAAAGTGTTACATACATCTTGTCTTGTGCAACTATATATCTTACGATTAGAGCTTCTCTTTACTAGGCTGCTTACGTCCTAGACAGTAACACCTTAATGTGGCAAGCAGGACGTAATGGCTTTGGGTATCTGGATATGTAATGTGAAATCAATGTGTCTCCCACAGAGAGTGAGCCTGACCCATCTATCAGCCCTCACATTGCTTAATTAAGACAGTTGCTCCCTGTAAACATGGATGAATGAGGCAACACTGTAATAATGCCTCTCCGTGAGGTTTATCACATCCACAGTCATTTAATCAACCAATTTCAGTGGCAGTATTCCCTCACTTATACTGCCACTTAGTAATACCTCGTGTGAGCTCAGCTGTTAATTTGATTTGACTCTTACAACATCACGATGCTGAACATAAAATCTGTGGGACTGCAGGCTCCCAACCGCAACATTTCTTCACTGCTGTGAACAAAGAAGACGCGGCACTCTACTTCCCACCAGCCCAAGCTGTTATATCCGTTACACATTGGGTGTCATGCTGCGCAGCTTAAGAGGTGAAACCAAATTTTGTCTTTCAGTGTAAATCTCAGGTGAGCTTTGTATGGGATGATTATAATGGAAATGAGAGAGGAGTTTAAGTATGATGAGCAACTGGGGAAATTGCTGTGACAACAAGGGGATCAGCAGAGGGATATGTAATACTTAAATGCCCCGAGAGGGAGGAAGCACTGGGAACTTGAAAGCTTGCACTGACACATGGGCTATGGTTTCTTTCTCCCTCGCTGTCTCCCTGCACACATGCAGCACCAACACACCCTAACACACCTCGTTCATTTAGACGTAAGTGGTGTCTCTTAAAAGCAGACTAAAGGAATCCGAGTTTTTGTACAACAAGACGCTGTGGAGAAGGAAAAAAAGAGGCAAGGTCTGATGAAGGAGAATCTACAAAAGCTTAATTAAGATTTCTTAATCGGTGCTGCCGTGCTAGAGGCATTTCGGGGCGACTTGAAACAAGACATTATTATGATAATAACTGCAGACTTATGGAGCTGAAAACACCAGACCTCATTTCAGCAGCACAAGGCAAAGTGACTAGTGCCAGACGTCGCAGATATCAGTCTGTGTGGTTTAGCTTCTTCCTTTTCCTGTACCTCCTGAACAAAAACACAGAGCGGTGCATGAACCTAACACCCTCAAGCAGAGAGACTACATCTATAAACCACAGCAGTCAGAGGTATGTCGGCCTTATCAAAGAGTACATTTAGTTATACAGCAGTAAACATGGTGGTGGGTGAGCTATAAATGCTGGCAGTAATTTTAATGGATATTTACCAGTATGAACAAAAACAGTGCATTCTGATTTACACAAGTTTTTATTTTTTATACTGAAGTTGCTTATGGCTGACATTTCCTAATATAATTGGAATATATACAGATAGTATGCATAATAAACACTCACACATAGTCAAAGAAAAATGAAACTTTTTTAAAACTATTTTTGCATCACCACTGACAGAGTGCATACCGGTAATTTACACCTCTGTAATCTAAGGAGCAAAGGCACAGAAATGTACGTGTCATAGACACCACATTTCTTATTCTATATATGTCTGTTTGTGTTAAAAACCTTTTCACCTAATAAAGTGCTGTGTAAATGAAATTAAAGTTTTTGCAGTATTTTTTGAGGCCAGTGTTGGGGTTTACGGATTTTACCCCTTTAGTTTATTTCTGATGTATAATTGGCTGAAAGTAAATAAACTGTATTGAGCAAAAAAGTAGAGATTTCAAACCAAATTTAAAGGATCCCTATTTATAATGATTGTTTTTTTATTATGCATTTTGTGTTTTAAAAAATATCATAATCAGATCAAATATCAGTATTGGTGTATCATCAATATTGGCCAAAAAAAGTGTACCAAAGTATACCGTACATTTTCCCTCATTGATACGTATGTCAGCATAAAAGTTCCGCAACTTAGTGTAGCTGTCAGTGACAGGCTGTTCCTTCTTATATCAGTATAGGGAAAATGTGAGTTATTTGTGGTTGAGGCAGAGTTGGGTGCTCTCCAGCCTTTTATCTTACTTCTCAAGCAATTATTGCACTAGATCTTCTTGTCACAGTCTTTTGCGTGTGTCAAAAGTATATTCACCGCTGAGTAAAACTCTCTGTGTCTATGCAGCTTGGCTGTGCGATAAAGTGCAAAATATTGTTACTGCAGAGGTGCTACCTTTAGTTTTAAAGTCATTTCCCAAACTGCCTTGAATAAAACCAGTTAATGTTGCATAAAATCTGAGTTAAGCCCTTGAGGTGAAGTATTTCATAGATATTAAATGCTAGGGGCTGTATATTTCTCCTTTAAAAACTAATATCTTCTTGTTTTCATGAACATGTTTCAATGAACTCCTACTTGTTGTTTTTGTGTGTTTTTACTGCTATTTTTATATCTCTATGACCTGCCTAACAAACATGCACAAACGTCACTAGTATAGTTCAATGATCATTTGTTAAGGCAACACATACTGTATATTTGATTTAATGTTGTGTCAATCAATAACATCCAGAGGTATTAGTGGAACTTAAATACTGACAGTGGTCTGAACGGCAGCGAGCCACACACTGAGTCAGAATGAATCAGCCTCGACATTCATCTGTAATGAGCATTATGGAGCTGGCTCCCTGCTTGTCCCGTGGGTAGACATATCTTTTAGAGGCCTGACATAAAGGTAATTGCCACAGTGACCAGAACTAG